CACGCCACATGTACAAGTGTATAATTAGTCGGGGAGGTATTTCTTCGTTGTTGATTTTGTATTCTTGTTGTGGTTTGGAACCCCCCTTGTATCTTGCGATGTTTCTGGTTTCTTCGGATTGCATGCATCCTCCCAGGAGTTCATAGAAATCGTTTTCAGAAATGTCCATACGATTTTTTGCGTTTCAAAATTCAGTTCCCACACGTCCAACGCAAGATAAAAGCTATCGTATTACACGATATTGCGCAGTTACCCCAAAGCAACCACAACCTTTGCAAGGATTAGCAGGGCCATGTGAGTATGTCCCTCTCTTCCAGTACGGCAGCATTCGAACAACTTTCAAAACACAGCAAGGGCCAGATTCAGATGGTAGAGCTGTTCAGCGGGCAAAAGAAAATAAAGGCAATGGTATGCAATGGTCACATAAAAACACCTGAGTCAAGGCTCCGCCGTGTGGTTGATGCCATACGTTTTAAGACGAAAATTCAGTTGAGGACGCCATGATTCCATAAGTGCATCCCTTGCAACATAAGCCAGAACTGAGACCCTGCTTCAACCTCTTCACCTCAGACAAACACGCGCCTCAGCTTTGTTCACGAGGTCTGTGACACTCAGCGAGCGACCCCCGATGTCCCTGAGACGACACAAAAATCTTATGTGCCATTGTCTAAACTCCTAGTATCCCCCTTAATAAGCCCTACAGTAATTCCCTATATTATCCCCCATATAACCCCCTTTAAGGAGTTCAGACTATAGCTCTTATGGGTTTTGGGCTTCGGGGTGCGGGAGCTGGATTGGCCGGGGAAAGACAAGTCCACAATCTCACCAACCAAGTGCACCTAGGCTTCACATTGATGAGAAGACGCTTATTGTGCTCCAGCATCCATGGGCTTTATATCAGAACAATGGTCGTGCGGGGACTTATTCGCTATCAGTAACCTGATCGTCCATTCGTATATCTGGTCTCTTCGTCAGGATCTTGCAAGAAACAAACAAAACATGGGGTAGCCGAAGCCTTTATAGCAGGATTTCTTAAAGAATGTCGGAGCAGAAATGCTTTCAAGGTCCAAAGCCAAGAGTACTGGATTGAGACTTTGCAGTGGAGTTCTATAAAGGTCAAAAGGGGTAAAAGGCACTAGGCAAAGAATCACAGCAGCCTCCCAACTACAGTAACCAGGAGCACAGTGCCTAACCCAAAGGCATTCGAGCGGCAGTGGCCGGCCACCCATGCGCGGATTCAGTGAGGTCACCTGCCGCAGCAAGTGATGACTTCGCATCGCTTAAATTGGAGACCTTGGCGTCCCAAATCTTGGGCGTCATTCCAAGACTAGAAGTGCGTGGTTCGCAAATGTAACAACCCCATAGCGAGGTGTACCACGAGTCTGAGTCTTGCCAGTCTAGTCTTTCGTGGAAACGATGGAGCCTACAATCTTCTTTGAAGTTTTGAGTGAGGTTGAGTTCCAGCATGGTGAGCGTCTCAGGTACCTGGTTGAACCGGAGGAAGAGGAAGATAGGATGCGAAGTGCTGATGGGGCCAGGCCGGAAGAGGCTGCAAGTGATGAACAGGGTTTTCCGCAAGAAGCCATGGACGAGGAAGTCGAAATTGCTACACAGGCCTGTGAGGTGGAGGCCCCGCTGGATGAGAAAGCGGAGAAGATCATGGAGACTGAGGCGGGCAGGCAGTATTTCTTGTTGTGGAAAAGTGGACAGCTGGATGACGGTGCGGTGGCGTGGAGTTGGGGACGTTTTATGCCACATGGTGCAGACTCCAGACACGCTGCCTGGGACGCCCATCTCACCAGCTGCACCGACACTCGCTTCTCCGGCCTGCACACTGACTTACTGGTCGTTTAGGGTCTAGGGCTTAGGGAAGGGAATATAATCCCTATGTAATCCCTATAGAATCTGTTCACCCTATTCCCTACTAAGCGCAAGTAGGCTGCATTGGGACAGCGGATTCGGAAAGCCAAGTTGCATTCGCCAGATGACCAGGTCTTCGACCCTTGCTGTAGGACTCACTGCAAGAGTCCAACAATAAGCCCACAGGTCCAAAAGAGCAGCTTTCACTGCAACTAAGCTTCAGCTGCTCCTCACGAAAATACTGACCAAACTTGCCTCAGCAGCAGCATGAGGCATGCTCCATGGGTTCATTTGAAGAAGGCATTGTGAAACAGGATGAAGCAGCATCTGTCATTTACCGGTGCTTCGGCCTTCAAGTGCGAGAACAACTGAATCCAGGCAGGAGGCTGGTGGCGTGCTTCCGCAGGCCAGCTGTTGCAATGGACAATGCTCCCTGATCGAGCAGCCAAGGTCAGTTCTATCACTGGAGGCGGAGCTTCAGCTTCAAGTCCGCACATGCCCTACTGTCTTGCCTCAGACACGGTCCGGAACATCAACATCCTCGCCGGCGCAGACCAAATCCATAGCCTCTGCGAGCTCAGGAGCTATGTCAATGGCTAGAGTCTGGTCTAACCTCGCATCCCTCAGGAAAACATGGCCGTTGCCCATATACCGAACAATCCATTGCAACTCTTTGCATGGAATTAATTATCAGCGGAGGGGATTTCAGCGCAAGCCCCCGAAGCAGCTCCAAGCACAAGGCCACCAGGGGATGTGCTCGCAACCGAACCTGTCCAGTGGCAACTGCAAGAGCTGAAGATGTACGACAACGACTGCCACAGCTACAACACGGTAGGTACAGACACTACGGCCTGGAAAATGGTTTTCCCAAAACCTTAAACCTAAACCCTATAAAACCCTGTATAACCCCTATATTACCCTAGTAGTTACCATGTTCTTTTCCATCATCCCTAGACCCTAAACCCCGAAGACCCTAACCCTATAACCCCAACATAACCCCTATATGACCCCAAACTGTTCGAAAGACGCGGCCTGGTGTCCACTTTGCCGGGTGAGACCGCATGAGCAAACAAGTTGCCTCATTTGTGGGCAGGAGCCCATCATTCGGGTTTAGGGTTTCATACATTAATATACAATGGGGGTTTAGGGAGAAATTATATTGGGGTTATATAAGGGTTGTATTTCCATATTCCCCATTGAAAACCAATAAGTATTAAGTTCAAGGTCCCCAAAAGGTAGGGTAGGGCACAGGAAGAAGAGCAATCCGCGTGCGTCCCAACGATGCTATATAGTTTTGACTTTGACACATAATAATGCGGATTTTGGCTAACTTGACAACTTGTTCTGGCAAGCTGATGCAAAATACGGACTCGAAACTTTCCAGATTGCTGTGATGCAAGCTCTTTCACCATCTGCAAGACTTGACATGAATTATGGAAAATCCAGACACCAACGCACCCTGGACCCTGAAGCCCAATCCCAGAACCCTAAACCCTCAGCCCTTTATCCGGTGCATGCCAAGAGGACCCTTCAGAGCGAGGCTTTGAGAGCGGACAGAGGTCCACAACAGCAACGCTCGCCTTGGCTTCTGTCAGCTGCTTAGGAATTGGGGGTTGAACCCTAACCACACCAATTTTTCAAATGCGACCGAAAAATCTAGGGCAAGAGGCTTTGAGTCTGCATACTCATGGCTCGTCGTCTCTCTCTCACCTGCTTGTACCACGCTGCAAAAATGTGCCGACTTGCAAATCAAGAGATGAACTGCAAGCAATGGCGCAGAAAACGCCACTAGACTTATGGTACCCGTTGTATGAGCAAACCATCGCCATCCATGTTGTTGTCACCCGCCTGCTAGTGCATCCAGCAAAGCTTCATCCAAGTTGGACTCTGACTCGTGGCCACTGGCCACGTTAATGACACTGGCCGGCAGGGGCGACCCTTCCTTTCAGTGGAGGAACACATCAGAGCAATGGCCCCCTCCCCCTACCCCCCCCCAAAGAACAGGCCAACCTTGCCCCTTGCCCGCCCAGCATCCGTCTCCCGAAGCCGGCAAATGACCTCCGTGAGCAGGAAGGGAGCCAGGAAGTTCACTTGCCAGGTTCGGCTCACACCTCCGCTGGCTCTTGAGCTATTATTACATAGGTTCTGGGCTTACAACGCTTCTAGGGCTGAGGGTTTAGGGTTGCGTTGCAGCTAGAACCAGCGTGCACAATATGTATGCCACCTGGTAGCTTTCAAAACGGGCCACACAAGCTATGCGCAGAAAAGGTTTGCATGCATTTGAGGCGTTCAGAGCAGGGAATCGACACAGCAAATAAGGCTCCGGCCATATTTCGTGCGAATGCTGGATGTCAATTCGTCACTCTGCGGGGGCTCACTCTGCGGGGGCTCCTGGAGACTTCTAACGGGAAATTTGTGTCTGTGCGTTCAGGGTTGCAGGTTCATACCCGTTGCCAGTTTGTGGCATCTTCCTACTCCCCTTTCTTGAGCTCTAATTCAGCCAGATTCTTGTTGCTGCCAACCCTTTGACAATTCCAACCCTAGTCGCAACGGACAAACACAAACCTGAAAAGGGGATCCAAAATGAAAGTCCACAATAAACACCCGCCCGGTATCTGCGAATGGCCTGCCTTTCGCATAAATGTTCGATCTTGGGGCTGCCACATTCTTATGTTTCAGAACATGCGGAACCTAGTTTCTGAGCAGTACTCATCTACCACTGGAGAATTAACTCTCCTGCGCTGTCAAGCTTAAAGTCTCCAGGTACCACCCCAAACCCGAGCGTCCTTTCCAGTTGCACGCCAACCCAGAGATCAGTTCTTTAGCCGATCGGGGGTCCTTGAAGCCGGCGTTATTCACCAGCATCCGCAAGCCGTCCGCGCCTTCATTCAAGAACCGGTGCGCTTCGACCTCGGATATGCGGGCATGCAAGGTAGAAACCTGGTTCTTGAACCCTATGAAACACAATCCTAAATGATACGCCGAGACTGCAGACCCTAACTTCAAAGCACCGAATCAATTAGGGCACCACGCTGAGCAGTTTCACTTTCAGGGAGAGCTCTACTTTGGGACCTTTTGTGCTCCAAGCTTTCCTCCATTGACAACCCCACAAAAATAGGGAAGAAAAATGAATCACCATTCAATACGTGCGTTAGCATGCGCCATCACGCGTCAATTCCAGTAAAACATGACACCAAAGAATTCGTGCTGAACTCATGAAGCTAACAATGTTCAAGTGCCCCGGCTCAAAAACCTTGCACGTTGCGCGTCGAACAAGTTCTTGGCCGCTACCAGTGCAAATCGACCTTCGTATCCTATCCTATCTGACAGTGCCGCGGCTCGACTTGACATGAAGTCCAAGCCCACTTGCAAGCACCAAAATCTTAGGAGGCCGGCCAACAAAATGAATGGCAAGCGAAAATCTGTCCACAGCAATAGGTGATGGGTTGCAGCTGCATCTAGTCCAAGGTCCCATCCTAGACTGAACCAAACTGAAACTACAAAGGGAACGGTGCTGAAAACCCTCATCCAGTTGCAGCGAAGCGGTGGACAGAATCCAGGTCCAAGAGTTCCAAAGGTAGCACTCCTTATCTGGCAACTGCTGAGGATCCCTTCTGCACATGGAAGGGTTCCAGAGGACAATATCAATAGTCCACATCTTGCGGAGGATCTCAAACTTAGTCGACCGCAAAGGGATGGGGACTCAAAACCCTTCAAGTGCAAAGGCTGAAGAGCCTCAAGGGGTTAAAAACCTTACGAGCTTACAAGACAACTTCTGGCCCAGGGATCGCGTGCGCCCATCCTGGTGCTCAGCTGCATCCTGGCAGCCCAAGAGGACGGAGATGGAAGGATGCTGAGTCAGCAGGCGCGCCAGCTCCTGAAAACACTTACTGGTTGTTAGTAGGGAATATGGGAATATAATCGCTATATTACATAACCCCATGCAACAGTAGGGAATATGGGAATGTAATGCCTGTATAACCCCATGCAATGTATTCCCCTGTTCCCTACTGACAACCAGTGAGCAAAGCAATGAGGCGTGACTGCCATTCTTATCTGCTGAGCAAAAGACACGAAGACTGTCCTGACCAATGCCAGTCCCAGCCCCTGTGATGACCACCCGTCCCTGCCATGGAGTTGCAGCGGTGGCAGAAGACTTCTACCTACAGCCCTAGTTTCCATGGCATTTTCCACATCCTTTTCTGTTTGATTCTTGATTATATTGGGGTAGACATCCCCCCATAGAACCTGTATGAGTGATGATCGAAACTCCTTACATCTGGCAATGGGCGCCAAGTTCGTGGTGGCGCTTTTGAATGTTTCCTATTGCTTTACAAGGTTTCGCTCATGAATTGGGATTGTGTGAAATTGGGAGTGTCGCTTTTCACTGTTCCAAGTCGCTTTACAGGGCTTTCCCCTGAAAACTCCGGGGTGTTGCTTTCAATGTTCCAGTCGCTTTACAGGGTTTCTGCTTCCCATGTCCGCTACAGTACTAACGTAATTCCTTACAACCAAGTATTGGCTTTGGCTCATATCTCGCTGTAGAAGCCCTAATGGATCCTTCTCGTATGCTTTGAAGGATCCAAGCTGCAAGCCCTGCCGAGCCTCGCATCCGGCGAATTCCTCCAACAGCTTCCGAAGCTTTCGCCGAGCTGCACGGCCGCGAAGGTGGCAGCCCTGTCTCCAAGCAAAGCAACCGTGGCGGGCTTAAGGTTTAAACCTTAGGGCATCAACCAGACATGGCTTCTACATGCCCGTACTCTTCAGGCGCACCAAGAAAGCTGCGGCAGCCGCCAAGCCGAGGAAAAGCCAGTCGCTCTTCGCCATGCGTCATGAGCGAGTCTACAGCCCAGCGGTCTACAACGCTGAACAATCTTCTGCTATGTTCTCCCTTTCACGGAAGCTAGTAGCTGCGCGGAGTTTTGTTTGCTTTGAGCTTGCCACTGCCTATCACATGATCATCCATCTTTCTTTGGAGCTTCCGAGCATCGGAAGTGTCACAGTCTTACGGGTCATGGGTCCTACGATTGCAACTTGAGAAAGACAAGCTGGCAACAATCACAATGGAGACAAGAATTATCTTGTCAGACAAGACAAGCTGGTCCATCAATCCGTGAGTCACACGCAGAGCAACAAATATTGCACCCCCACAGCCCAGGCCCACGCCACGCCTGCAACTTGAAGGGAGGATACGGCAGAAGCCGAATTGGAAACCGGCAAATCGGGCAGACCTACGTCATTTCTCGGACTGCCAAGCTGACAAGCTCAGACACGCAGCAGGCTTCTGAGAGCTGGCAGCTCCTCTAGTACTGCTTTTCAACTTCAACAGCAACCTAAGCTCTGTCGGGCTGTCGTGATGTCGTGAACCCTTGGGTACATGGAACCATCACCCTGCTGATATCTATTTCTACGTGCTGCACTTTCCACATGTCTGCCGCCCTGTAGATTGTTTTTTGGGGTTCCTTGACAATGTCTTGTGCGTGCAGCATCCACCTCAGGAGACTCCGTCCACCAGCGGGAACCCGCAAGGGTGCTCTGCAAGCATTTGCCACGTCCTTCAATGCACTCTCAGAGGGCGTTCCAGGAGCACAGGGCGACCAGGACCAGGATACAGTTTTTGCAGCCACATGAGGGGTTTGATCAGCATGCAAGTTGGAAGCAGGACGGTTGCCTACTTGGACTGCATCTTAACGTGACTGCAAAGGTGGTCACAGTGGTCACAACTGTTGATAGCGGTATTGGCTGGCTAGTCCCAGGCATGAAGTCGGAATCAAATGGGCACATTCATCTTAACACTGCGAGGTCAAAGCGCCAACGTCGTACTTGACTAAGGTGTCTGCATTAGCACTCGAAAGCACTAGCTACTGCGCACTGCTGCACCATTTTGCGCGATTGCAGCTGCTTCCTGAGACTCTGGGCAATGCTGCATGGTCGAGAGACTCCATGATCATGTCGAGTTGGCAGCCCATGGCAACACCCACGGAAACACCCCAGCAGTACTACTGCAGCACCGTCATCTTCGAGTGCACCTGTGCACTGCTGACTCGTCCCAAATCCAGTCATTGTTGGAAGGAGCGTCCTCGCACCTAGCAGCGCCATCGAACACTCGAGGCTGCTTTTCTTAGTCCTCTGGCGGAGTGCTCGAGTAGAGAAGCGCGTACGCTGCAGAAAGCCTCTTCGCTGCTACCGCTTTTCCAGTTGCCAGCACCTGGCCACGGGCCAAGCACCCAGCCACCTGCAGGGAGCATTCTGTTGCAGGCTTCACTGCTTCACTGTCTCAGATATTAGGAGCTTCAGAATAAAATACTGTTACTATCTATTACTGTAATATACTATAATCCACAAATAATCTACTATCGTTATAATCTACTATATTCTACTGTAATATACTATAACCTACTACCGAGCCTCAACGTGGAGCTCCTGAGCAGCTTCCACATCACCACCCCGCTTGCCGAAGAGCGCTTCGCCTGCAAGCAGGGCTTACTCTTACTATTACTATTTTGAAAACTAATACTAATACTATTACTGTTCAAGCAGCTTGTTGAAACTTGTCCTGGACCCTTTCAACCACTTTCAGGCGCCTCGCGCACGATCGGAGAACAGCAGACAGCCTTTGGGCAGGCCCACGTCGATTCCGCTCCCCCCTTCCCTTCAACTCAACAGTAAAGAATACAAGCTGCCCCATCTGCACCAGGAAACCTTCAGAAAGGAACTCTATGCGGATTGACCGTATCAAGACAACCGTTACTTTCTGTTGTTGCTAGTGAATTGAAAGCTGTTGTCCCCCGGCAGAGGCAGCCCATGCACTGGTAAATGCAGTGCATGAATTGTTAAATGCAGTGCATCAACGCCCAGCAGAACCTTACGTTTGGCGTGTAAAAGTTCTTGCGGAGGGTATCCCGTTCGAGTCCTCTCAAAACGAGCGATACGGCCATCACCCACGTTCTGGCTGCACACAGGGCAAGGACTTTCTCAAAAAGGTTCAGTGCTTACCCGCTATCATCAGACATGCAAGGAACACCCCAAGTTGGCAAGGGATCCCGCAGAATCACAAGTAAGCTTTGTTTTTCCCTCGTGCAGGTCTATGAAGCCTGTAGCCTGCAAAAGCGACCATCCATGAAATTCTTGAAAGATTTTGAGCTCACAACCTTACAGGCTCAACCGCAAAACACCACAATCCGATGCATAAGGATTTCCCGCAAAGGGCCCTCAAATTGTTCCTCGGATCCAAGCAACCAAAGGGTCTTCCCCGATGCCCAGCCGACTCTAAGGCTAGGCGCTGCCGCAGCAGGCGCCTCATCTGAAACATGGGGTTTCTCAAAATTCGAATGAGGATCCATTAGGGTGCCAAAATATGGGTTGGAAAAGGATACATCGGGCTTTAGAGGGCATACATAAGGATTGGGGATATTGCAGGCAAATACTGGAGAATCAAATGGAGATGAGACTGGAAAATGACATGAAAGCTAGGGTTTTATCGTGGTTTGTAGGGATTAGGGTTTCCCAAAATCAGAGGTAATTTTGTGTGCCTATGGTGGGGTACCATCTCTTTCTTACTCAAGCTTAGCTGCCAAAGGGGGGAATGGATCCCTAGCAGGCTTGGGGGAAGGTCAGAAAACTGCTCTTCAAGGAGCACTCGCAAGTGAGGTATGAGAGACTGAGAAGCTGTCAGAAGGGAAACAGTTTGTGGGGTTGGGCTTTGAGCCCCGTATCCATATAAACCACTATATGACCCCAGCTTCCATTTCACTTTCCATTGTCATTTCCATGTAGTTTTCCATTATACATCCCCGGGACGAGAGTTTTGACATACGGAGAACTTCCTGGTAGCCTACAGTACCGCGGAGAAGCGGAGAGGGCACGAGTTTCATTTTACTTGGCCAGCGTGGCGGAGTAG